TGTCAGGAGTTGGTGAATCTTCAAAGTCAGCCAATAGAATTGTACATTTACTAGGACAATGTGATACAGAACAGAAAGTGCACTTTTCACTGTGATCGTAATTACAGTCACTACATAATTTAATGATATCGGGATATGGGGCAGGACGAGATTTGAAAGTATATCGTTACAAACACTAGGACAGTACTTTTCTGACAGTTTTCACCATGTTGTTAATTGCAAGATGTATGTACATAGTTGGACGGTACATACATTTACACAATGACGAGCAGCACAATTTTGACAGTGAATAATATGAAAAGCGCAACAAGAATCGCAAAAACTTTCCCAGGAATCCATTTTGTTGCAGTAAAGTCTGCTGCTTGACTGAGTCCTTTATTGCTTGGTGTCCTGAAAAATGTTTCCCCAAAATTCTTGGAATTTCGTCAAGAAATGTCTTTTAGGTGCTTCTTGGAAATTTAGTCGCGTAAAAATTTCTGGGCATTACAGGGTCGTTTATAAATAAAGGTATGCATATTTCTTGGAAATGGATCGTGTAAAAATAAAGTGCATAATTATGAAAATTATGGATAAAAACTGGCTTTTATGCAAAGCAAAAGTCAATTCCTATATGCTTGACAAGAAAAGTTGCCCTAAAACAGGTAGAATCAAATATAGAATTCTTGAAAATTACCCTTTTTTCATGTGGTCAAACATTGATACCCCAACTCGTGGAAATGTAACAAAAGGTTTTATAGTCTAAGTTAGACCAAGGTGCAAGCAAATGCAACGTCTTTTGGTGCGTAACTCCATTTTGAATTTTTTCGTGGAACCGCTTTGTTGCTCCTTAGTTGTTTTTATGATTTTAATCTTACCCTGAAATGGTTGAGTAACCGGGATTTTAAATATTTCGATACCAAAACTGTGCCCGACCAAGTGAAGTTGTTAAAATCTTTAAAAGTCAAGGAAGGTGAAAAGGTTTGGAAGCGAGTGTATCCTGCGAAGAGGTTTGATCACGCGAGGGCTTTATTTGTGAGTAAAATTATTTATTTCAATTTTCCGATTTTAGAATAACAAATTTTAATGGATCTTATTTCTATATATTTTTGTAAAATTTTATTTATATTTAAATGTATTTATTTATATATTTATATTTATATTTATATTTTTTTATTTATATTTTAAATTAAGAAAATAATAATAACACAAAATTGTTTTATTTATTTATTGTTAGTTATTCCAATCCTTCACTGTCATCATTCAGCGGCAAGGGCGGGGTCGCGTATTCCTGTATAAATTAACTGCCACAATGTTTGGAACCAAATATCCGGTCTGGTCACCATAGTACAAACTTTTGTGGCGAGGCCTAAGGTGGGATGCATACCCAGACCTGACTCAAGTTACAACTGGGAACCTAGATCCTCTCAAATCTTATGACGTTAGCACTGAAGATGATGACGACTCAGAGGGAGCTTATGATTCCATTACGAACGCTTTGCTCTCGTCTCGAGTCACCCCACCCAATGTGGACATTTCAAGTACGTATGTGTTTAAATTTTTGTGTGTAGATTCAAAACTCGGTAGAACTCGCAGCGAACATCTCTTCTTTACGAACTATGACTTTTTAGTCGATATGCACGCAAACAACAAGGATTTTCTCTTTATTCCTGTCACATTTATGTCTGAATTTTATCGTGATTTTTTGCCTAAATTTTATTCTGGTTCTGGTCATGCGGCTTTTATTTTCGTCGACACGACGCGCGATATAGTTGTTTATTATGACTCAAACTACAGTGCAAAGACCTTGGCATCTATGACCGTGCTATTTCCTATGCAGCGGAACAAATAGGAAAAATTTGGGGGCGAAAATTTACAGTTTGCGACTCTACGGAGCCCAATTATTCAAAAAAGATAAAGGGAAGGGTGGTTCCATAAAACTAAAAAAGTATGGCAATGACCTGTGTAATTTATATGTGTTATTTATATTTATGTCGGACGACCGCGGCGCCTGCGCATTTTATGTGGCCGCTAATGCATGTTTTTTTGCAAGCATCATCTGGTCGTGAAGTCAAAGATAATGTAGGGGAAATAAAGCGTAGTCGACAAGGCTAGCTCCTGGAATTTGTGTAGTTTAAATAACTTAACATATGCATGTATTGTTAGGTTAGGTATTTTCTTGGGTATCGGTCACTTATGCATGTTCATATTACTAAGTGAAGACATGAATGTAGACAAATGTGTCAATACGAGATGTGACACTAGTTTTTAACGTGTGACTGCTTTCCTATACATATCAACCACTGACTTAATTCCGGAGGTTGGTGCCTTTAAAGGAACGAATTATGCACTTCGAGGCTTCACATTTAGCTGACTCTTCACCGGTAATCTTCTCTAGCAAATGAAATGAGCTAATAAGTATCAATTCTTTCTATGACCCCACAAATGGCCAGGAAGTTGTGTCACTTAGAGATGAGGGATGAATTGCGCCAAATTGTGTTTGTCGAATAAATTGTGTGTTTGGGAGGCAGGTTGAGAATCGAGACAAGATCTTTTTATTCACTCTTGAGTTACCCAATTACAAAGATATTGGGGCAGGCCAGCAGCAGCAGACAGGAAACTTGTCCTACAATGACAACCCCTTGTACTGCTGCTGGGACCTGTTTATATACTAAAACATGTACCTATATGTATACCTACATGTTGTATCGTTATTGGCCCGTCGGTCCGAGAAGCAGGAATAGAAAGTGGGATTACTTGAAGAGAACTTGCAAATTGAGAGAGATGACTCGCAATGATGATCGCAACATTAATCACTGAATGCTCTGAGGCATTCACGATTAATGAGAAGAAAGAAGAATGGGTTACATATTTAATGAGGCTGACCTATTATGGCAAAGCTGCACTTTTCACAAGTCCCCTCTCGAGGCTGCAATTCCACTGCCACATCCTGTACACCATTTTACTAACAATGCGATGACGCCAGCGGTCTCGCTCCAATTTTGACAAAATCACGATCATTATTTAGCCTTAGATAAATAATTGAACACGTGTTTCGGGATTTTTCATAATGCTCAGTTTAAACAAAGTTATGAGGGTAAACGTGACCGAAAATTCGCATTTTCTCGCGAAGTTTTTCTCTTTTTGTTTTTGAGGGAGAAAAACGCAAATTTTCGGCCACTCATACTGTTTTTATTCAGGCCAATAAAGTTATGGTATATAGATATATATTAGGTACATGTTGAGTATATATATGAGCAAAGAGCAGCCACAGTACTGGGGTCGTCATAGTAAGGCAAGATCCTTTCTGTAGCTGCGTCCTATCCCAATTGGAAAGCCTTTGAGAATAAAAACCGCTCTTCTTAATTTCAAAATCTCAACTCGCCTCCATAAATGGTCCTTTATTTCGCACGATTCTTCCATCATCTACCCCAAGTACACGAGTGCTACACATTACCCGAAGTGTGGGGTCATTAATTTGAGACTTGAAAAAGGCTCATTTCAAAGGTGAGGATAAAGTTTAGTTTCATAATATATTTAGCGGATTTCTCAGGGATAACTTTGAAATTAAATTCAGGCATATTATTGTCTGCCAAAAAATTTATTATAGGAACGTATTGTTGTTTGGTGTGACCAGCTTTCAAGATATAAAAAATATTGTGACATGATGTACTACCTATTTTCTACAAAGCATTCGCTTAACGATGTGGATAATTTACCAGATGTGCTACATGTCAAAGTAACATTAGACGGAATGCTCGATTCTACATCCTCTTTCAATTTCGGGCCTATATAAATTGCCTCCCATTTCTTGTACGCCCAAAATGTATTTCCTGCGACATCACCACTCATATTATATAATTCAACATTGGACGGTGTATTGTGAGTCGATAAATTTACTCCAGTTCAACTTAAAATTCCAAACCCATTTGAGATGAAATTATTCATCCATACATATGTATATATTTTATGTTTTTATGGATTTTAAAGATGTTTGATGAGTAATATGATTCTGTAATATGGTGCAAATGCAGATGCAAAAACGAAATGAAAATTTGTTGCCCAACAAAATTCAACCTCATATAAAACCCGGAGAAGAGTTTTGAAATCCATGTGGACCAAGCGTGTCGATCTCGCATTGGATTATATTATGTCAGGCAAGCACCCCAAATTTATTCGTCCAAGGTCAAGCTATGTACGTATGTATTGATGGTCCGACCCTCATAAATCTCTTGGTACATACATATGCACTCAAGTCATTTATTAATCCGTTTTCAAAGCCAACTCGGGCACTCAAAAGAGCCTTGATCACAAGTATAGGTAAAATCATTCATACAATTTTTACGTAAGGTAAGTAATTTAATGATTGGTTAAGGTTGACTCATTATGCACTTACACATACTAATCTTAACTCACTCCATTCATCTCAAGAATTTATGTATAAAGATCCACTCACGTAAACTTATAGTATTAAAATGGAATGGTTATCTAACTCGCATTTGCTCATTTATTCATTGCACTCCAAACTTCATTATAAATACTCCATTGACAAACTTATTACTTGATCCAAAAGAGGCCGTACATGAAGCATGTGATAAATTTTCGGGGAATTTTTGCCCCTACCCCCTTGGTATGACCAACATGTACGCTCCATATTATAATTAACATCGAAGGATGGGATGCCTTGACCCCTACCCCTCCTTAAATCGATTACATGCTTTCTGTGCAGCCCCTTAAAGACGCCAATGTATAAAAAAGGAGCATTTCTTATGTATCAATTTAATTACGATGCATAATATTTTACTTGTTGTAGAGGTAGGTAGTTGCTAAATGTCTGCCTGCGTCAATAACACCCAATCTGCAGCCAAGGTTGAGCTTGAAATCATAAAGTTTGTCACATTGTGTCATACATTAAACTTTTTGCATAAAAATGTGAGACGCTTAAAAATGTTAAGCCTGACCTCGCATATCCAATGATTTATTAAGCATTGAAACACATACAGTAAATCAGTCTCCAGCTTGGAATCGTGGCGTATAAAGTCTCTCTAAATCAATAAATGTGTATGCATAACATTTGCAAAAATGTACAAATATTTCAAAGGAAAATTACTTAATACATTTTTGCAAACTTGCCTACATTATCTTTTTCTTCAGTAGAATTTGCAAAATTAAATTTGTAGATTTTACTAAGTTATCAATGACTGTGTGAATTACTTCTAAAATTTGTCATCAAAGATAATAAATATCGTGAAATGGTCAATACAAAATATGGAGGCACTTGAACTGCCAGGTTTCTGGATCCTGCTAAAAATTTGGACCTGGATCCGTGACTTTGTTTTAAGTTTAGCTTGCCCATCTTTGATTCCGGACACGGATAAATTTGGTGCCAAAATTAAGGCCACGTGGGAAATTCCTGGACCCACGATCTGGCGCCCTGTGTTGGGAGATGCTCTAACCTTGAACAAGTTTGGGGGTCCGGAAAAATTGTTGGACTACATTTCCAGTTTACATGAAAAATATGGACCAATTTTCAAGTATGTTATGCAAATATGTACATGTACACTCTGTTATAGAGGTCAACGTATACGAATTTTGAGTCGGCTGGCTAATTTTTTGATGATTTTTTAACGGCGGCGGCGTGCAAGTTGTACGAGTAGAAAATCGAATTTGTCCGCAGCGGCGGCACGTAAAATACATCGGTGGCGCCCAATCGGCTGCGTTGACCTCTGCACTGTTAGAAATCTGGTATTGATTTATAGGTATTAAAGTTGCTACCGCTTGGTATTAAAATTATGTATGAATGCCGATTCGTAAAATTTATGGTTAAACTTTAATATCGAGGTGCAACAACACGGTATTATTTATCAAGGCCATTTCGGCAGAGTCATACATAGTTATATGAATATCGTTTGGTTTTATTTTAATACCAGATTTCTAAGAGTACAAATTCTTGTAATAAATTATGTTAAAAATTGTGATTGAAACGGGGCACATTTTTAGAACAAAACTTGGCCCGCAAAAATTCGTATTTATAAATCATCCAGCCCTTTACGAAGAAATTTTTAGACCTGAACCGAACTATCCAATCAGGTTAAAGGTATGCATTTATATTGAGCGTACTCACGGCCACCTTCGCAAATCTCGCAAATTCAGCATAGTAAATAACTCGCCAAGGTTTGCTAGATTTTACAAAAATTTTGTTGGAAAACTGTGACATTTTTTTCGCATATTTGCCCAGGAATTTGACAGCTTCACATATTTCACAAGAGTATTTCTCAAACTTATCTTCGGCATTTAAATTACAGAATCCCATGCAAGCAATATAAAAATATAGGGCTTCGCAAATCTCGTACATCCACCGAAAGATCTATATGTTGCGAATCCCCTCAAGGCACAAATTTTGTTATCTTCACAAGTTTTCCAACTGAGCGAAATAAGACGTTGTCGTGAGTACGCCTATTGTATTTATAATTAAAGATTGGAAACCTGTTTAATGGCTCCCAGCTACGATTTTGGAAAAAATAGTGTCACTCAACCATAAATTTAAATAATTTGAAATTTAAAAATGACACGATTTCCCAATTATCGTTTTTTGCAAACATTTGCTTCCGAAAAGGAGAAAACCGTCAGCAACTCTTGAGAAATTATAAAATTTATTAAATTTTTTGGGATGTTTCAGCAAATACTTATCTGCACTAAATGTGACCATCGAGAAATTGTTTATTTTGTAAATACCATCATATTTAAATTCGAGACCGATTGATTCTAATTTGGTCAAAATCAGGGAGCATACGCTGGGACACCTCCCTTGCCCGCTAGCTTAATCATGTACTAAAAATTTGTCTTTTAATTCCTCCCAGCTCCCTTCAAGTGAAGCTTTTTATGAGAAACATAAAATCGACAGAGGAATATTTTGCAGAGATGGTAAAGAGTTTTGTCGAGGTCGAACTATAATGGCCGAAGTACTCCTTAAGGTGGCTGGTCAATATATGGAAACGTTATTCGACTCGGTCGACCCGGTATTGAAGAGGTTAATGGATCACTGGACGACCATGTCAATGGAAACAAAGGGCGGACATATAAGAAATATCGAACAGGATTGTTACGAGTTTTTCATTGCTGGTGAGAAATATTTAACATTGAGGTTTCACCACTTTCAAATTCAGATCAGTTTTTGAATATGTCAAGTTGAGAATTTTAAAAAATCGGATTAATTAGAATTTGTATCTATGCGAATTTTAAGACTAAATTTTGCCTGTCAACAACCTTTCACGTTTTAGCAGTGAAATCGTCAAAATCCTCATAGGCAGAAATCTCAATTAATCTAATTGTCGGAAATTCTTAACTTAAAAAAATGTCATTCAAAACAACGGATAGAAACCCTGAGCAACAATTAGACATATTTGCATAACATAAAGTACATGTCTTATTTACTAATTGCTTCTACAGCTAAAATGACGATGACTTATGGTCAACATTATGAGACGTTCTTGTCCCAAGCCGGCTCCAGCGTGAAAACTTTGGCCTCTGAAGCGATAAAATTGAACGCCGCCACGTTTGACCTTAACACCCACCCGATTCAAATAGCGACCGGTTTTGGGCTCAAGGAATATGATGAATACACCCTGAAAAATTTAGAAACAGGTCGACCACTACAAAATTAGTCACAATTTGATTTTTATACTCTTAAAAATCAGCCTAAAACCGATATTTGAAATCTGTAGGTCGCAAATGTATCGATATTGCGTTGGAGACCATGGCCGCGACTGGCGGGTCGTCGGAAGAATTTGGGCTTTTGCATCGAATAAAAAACGTCTACAACGCATCTGACGAAGAAATGAGAGTATATTTTACCGATATGACTGCGGACATTAGCGACCAGGTGAGTAGAACACAATTAACCGGTTTTCCGAAAATTTCCGATTTTGGATGCCCTAACCAAAAAGTTTCTTTAGTTCGAATAAGTTAGTTTAAGCGTAATTTTACATTTTAGGTTAGCTTAACCTTCCTCTGGATACTATTCTCCTTGGGTAGGAATCCCGACGTTCAAGAGAAAATTTTGCAAGAAATTGAGCAAGTTTGCAGACCCGGGAAAAATGTGGTGTACAAGGACCTCCAAAAATTACCATATCTCAACACCACTTGTAAAGAAGTCTTCCGCCTCTTTTCCACCGCACAACTAGTTATTCGAAAGAATTCTAATGACGTGGTCCTTGGTGGCTACAACGTTACAGCGGACGTAAATTACTTATAAATCATTAATTAAGAAATGTTCAGAGCTGGGAAAAATACTTTGTCGAGACACAGTAGTTCAAGCTCCGTCCTTCTCAGAAATTTGAAGTTTTAGGGTTGTTACAGCAACAAAAAGACGATAATCAATATGGAGGGTGTCAATTCCACAAGACGATATCGAGGGTTATGATTCCTTCGTACCCTTAGTATTAAATATTCAATCATAAAATTAGTTACTACGGTTACAAGAGTATTAAGATTTTGCCTCCAAAGACGCGTTGTAAAGGTTACAATTTTTACGGTTTTTATTTTACTTGCCCGTCTTTACAGTTATTTGGTAAGCAATTTCACAATGCTAAGGATACAAAGACAATGGTTGCCATCAACGTTTTTACATAATAATTGTAATCTCCATGTATCTAAACTTTTACCTTTTTGTGACCTAGGAATCCTAATTCCATCAAAGAAAAAAAAACATCTCAAAAGCATTTATGTACACACTATGACAAAGCATATTGCCCAGCTCTGATGCCTACAAACAAAATGCATCAAGACGTGAACTTAATCCTTCTGACGCTCTTTATTTATTCAGTATGCTGTCATTCTATCGTCCTTTTCGTCCCATAAAAACCCCTCATTCTTTTCTAATCCGGAAAAATTCTGGCCTGGCCGATGGTTGGGGGAGGAGCGGGACGTGGATACGGGGGAAGTAAAGAGATCGGAAAATGCCTATTACCCCTTCGGCATGGGGAAAAGAATGTGTGCCGGAAAACTTTTGGCGTACAATTTGATGAAACTCTTTATCGCAAAGGTACACTCTAAAAAAAATTTATCGAATCAACACCGCCGGTGTCAATATATGACGTAACCGCCTTGGTTACAATTTTGATTCCGAGTTATGCTGGTTTTGATACCGGTAGTGGTAATATTATGACCGGACGGAAAAAATTTCATTACCACTCGGAATCACAATTGTAACCAAGGCGGTTAAGTCATATATTGACACCGGCGGTGTTGATTTGACAAATTTTTGTTTTGAGTGTATATATTGGGGTAAATTATTGCATTCCTGCGAGTTTAATATGATCATTTGAAAATAAGCTCTTAAAATAAACTCTTAAAATTAATGCTATCCTTTTGAAAATTAAATGCACTCTAAATACTAAATTAAGTAAATTATGCTAAATCAAAATTAACATGAACTTGGTAAAAATCAAAGTTTATGTACTCAAGATTTATTTAAGCATATTTGATTAAGAAAGAGAGGATTTGCTTCTCAGAAGGTAACATTATTTTTTAGAGTGTACCCTTTTACCAAAGGCAATGCTTTAAATTTCCTATGTTAATTAAAACACATTAAATCAGGAGAAACATGAATTTGATATATACATAGTATGTATTACATACACTGGATTAATATAGTTTATTTATCAAATTTATGTATCTATCTAGTTATCAAAAGTGTAACATTATTTTTAAAAGTGTAAATAATTTTATTCCTAGGTCGTGCAGGCTTTCGTGGTGGAGAGTGACGAGGTTCAGAAAAAGCTTAAAATAATGCTATACCCCAATGGAGACATGAATATTCGGCTCAAATCGCGTTAAAATATAATATTGCAGTTTAGATATGCCATGAAATTAAATATATAATATGCAACAAGTGATAATATTGTTATGTATCCTTTGCTCGGTTCGAAGATGAATGAATAAAGGTGCAACACGTTCATTTACGACTAAGGACTACTCAATATATTTATTTAAGTAGAAACATGTATTTATGTCCTCTGCTCACTGTAAACTTGGGAAATTGAGACATTTTGTCTAAACTCTTACACAAAATCCACAAATACATACATATTTAAATACTCATTCATTCATTCCATACTCAATTTGAACCATACGCAAGAGACGCTTCTTTAATACATACTGCAACCTTTGTAATGATAATGCAAATGCAACATTAACATTCCAAAGGTCAAGGGATTCAACTACATAGATTTAGTTTCATATGAAGCGTATTATATAAGTAGCAACTCGCCTCTCATGGTTGTCCAAACCATGACTTAGTGTGCAGGTAGAGATCATGCATGACAAAGCCAACTTCTGTGCGTAGGATAATAACTTATCTTTAGTTTTCTTGTTATAAATATGATAATCAACTATCATTGTATATGTATATAATAAGAAAAGTTAAGATAAGTGCAAATTCAACGCACCAAGTCGATCCAATGATGGAAAATTTAGATCATCAGGATTGGGTCCGACTTGCTGCGTGTAATATTAACTTTTACTTAGTTTTCTTGTTAAGAATATATTATTCAAGTATCATTCTATATGTATTTAACAAGAAAAGGTCACATAGGTCAAGATTCCACGCACAGGATTAATCCTAAAGTGAAAGGTTAAGAATCGTGACGTAATAGGCAACTGTTACAAAGGGGAGAATAGGATAGGGATGAGGAGTGTAGGATGGTAGCAGCGCTACAAGCACACTACGTCATCATAGTAGGGTTGCCGCGGGTTGCGAAAATGCTACCCGTTACCCGACCCGCTACCCGCAACACCACTACCCGTACCCGCACGGGTACCCGTTACCCGCTACCCGTTATGAGAATTAAGTTAAAAACTAACCGAGCATCAGAATAAGTTTGATTTCATAGATTATTTGCCCATTTGGGTTGATAAGTAGTTTTAGATAATGTTATGCCTGTAACTAATGCTATAATTTGCTAGATGTCATTAGATATTTCGGAAACCAAACTTTTCGGCTTACAATGTAACCTTTTTCAAGCTACACCGGAATTTCCTAGCAATTTATATAAAAAAATCAATTCAAAAATTTGGAAGTACATGACACTTAACTTTCCGCTGAATTTTCCGATTGTTGAAAATGTTATTAGGGGGCAGAATTCAACGTTCACCATGGTTTTCGTCCATTGCAGGAAATAGATGGAGAAAGTTTACTTGAGAATTGAACTTTGCCGCCAATATTTTTCTTCAAACTGGCCAATCAACGGAAAGATAAGGATCATGTGATCCGTAATTTTTGGCTTGATGTTTTGATATTATGTACTAGCTACCTACATATACACAATCTGGTGTATACAGTTTGTCTCAAGGTTCTATCTGAATTGTTAGTTTTATTTTTTGAAATTTTGGTTTCAATGAAGTATTCATTAAAAATTCGTCAACAAATTAAATTTTTGTCTGCAAGCGGCTTGAGGGTTTTCACGGCGCAAATTAATGTCAGTTTTACATTAATACGCACAAATACAAGTCAAATTAGTCCAGTTATTTTATAGCAGGCAAGTTATTCTGGAGAAACAATAATTTATCCGCATTTTCGGGACATTAAAAGTATTTGTGGCTGCCGTAGGCTGCTGTGGCTTCCGAAAAGACACGCTAGCTATAAACGCTTATTATTGGCAAATGACAAATTTTGATTTGAATAAATAATACAATCATACTTGTGCAAATGGAAGGACTGATGAGCTTCTAACTTTGTTTGTGAGTTAATTTAGGCCAAAATTGAATAAAAACTGAACTACCCGTTACCCGTGCGGGTAGTTCTCGCTACCCGCAGATAACGGGTATCCACAAGAATCGTGCGGGTATGCGGGTAACGGGTACCCGACCCGCTACCCGCGGCAACCCTACATCATAGGTTATAACACAGAATGTAATATATAGCGTAAGCAGAGGAGTGAAGAGGAGAGTTCTGTTTCAGACACGGAACGAGCAAGATAGGTAGGCAACCATCAAGGTTATTTATTGTATAGGTTTTTCGGGAATATTTAACCCTCTTTTCTGTGTGTAATTTTAGGAAATTTAAGATTTAGTTGTTCAAAAGCTTTAGGTTAAGTTCTCATCTAGATAGTGTTAACAAAAATAAATATATAAATTAGCTCTCCCACGCATAAAATAGATCTTTATTATAAAATCAATATTTTTCAGTCGATATTGATACAAATAAATATATTTATAATTTCTCCAAAAAGTGAACTTTTACAAATTATTCACGCAAAAGTCACAAAATAAGGGGCACCCACGAAAGTGGGTGTGGACAGGGACACGCAAACCCCATAGCTAGAACAGGGGGCGTTACAGTACATACTTATGTATTTATTGACACATAGTCTTTACACACGTATCTGTTTAATAATTTCTGACAATGTGAATTTCTTAGTTGGTACACTAAGATTTCAATGGGACCAGTTTCCTGGGGCAGATGAACCTTACAAGCTTAGCTTTGCTTTGCATTTTTGCAAATTTTATAACTCTTTACATTCCAGAATATTTACGTTAGAACGAAATTATAAGCATAATTACTCTATTTGGATATTCTTTTTGAAAATTCTTCCCTGCAAGTAAATTCGCGAATTAGGATAAATTTGAAACCGAAAATTGGTAATGTTGACTTAGGCCATCAAATTTGATGACTGGGATCATTTTCATAAATTAAAATGGGTCCATTAAAACCGAGTGTAACCTCTGAAGCAATCACTTTGTTGGGAATAAAGCTGTCGTGCAGGAATTTTCCAGGCTTAACTTGACTCTAATTCATTCGGCTCGGCCAAACTGCTTATCAGTCTTTTTTCAACCACGCGTGTTCAACAGAGTTTGGATATGTAATTTGTTTAAACTTTTTTATTTGATGACAAATTTCGTGTGTTTTCCAACTCTTTTACATCACAAACATTTTAAAATATTGTTACGCTTTAGTAATACGTCTCCTATCTACAAAAATTATCGCCATTGTTTCAAAATTTTTAAAAACTTCGTAGATATTTTTCAAAAATATTAATCTCTACATATTTTGCAAAAATTTCAACCACTTTAGACGGAATTTTTTTGTTCAAAGAAATTCGAATACAAAAAATTCTAACGATCAAATTCAAAAGTATCAATTTTGCAGAAATTCTTACGTAGATATTTGTTTTTTTTGTATTTATTTGCATACATACATATTTATGTACATAATTCGTAAATATGTTAGCTTTTGTCATTAGGATATTAAATACTTTTTCCGAGATTTTTCGTAAATCTGTACATACATATCCGCGCACTGGCCATTACGCCAGGCAAGAAGGTCAATGGCAGCCAGTAAAGTGAAATGCGACTCAACCTCGGTACCTCAAGTTCATTAATCTTAAGAATCCACATGCAAACTTGTCTTAAATATGGGCATGAAATCGTTATCTTTCGCACGTATGTAGGGATTATACAGAAAGCATGTGATTGATTTGAGGGGGTAAGGGGTAGGGGGCCAAGGCATCATATCATCCCCTTGTAAATTATAACATGGGACATATGTACTTATACGTCACACCACGTGCGTAAGAGTCATAATTTTCCGAAAATCGATCACGTTCTTTATGTCCGGTCCCTGCATGTGCATATGTAGCAGTTATTCATTACACGGCATATCTATTTAATTATACAGGGTAGTTTACGCTCACGCTACGACGGACAATTTTCCAATAGCAAAAATTCGTAGGTTTCCATTAGTTATCAAAATTTAGCCTATGAAATTTAAAATTTTTAGAATTTTGTCATCAATTTTGATATTAGAGTTGAATAATAATGAAATATCTTAATCCCAAATCTTGTAACTAAAGGAGATTTGTGGACTTTTTCCTTTGCTAAATTTTTAAATTTTTGCTAAAGCGAGACATTTGAATCACCCTATACATATATGCAAATGATGTGTACACATATTACATGATCGGAAAGACTCCAATATCCAAGCGAGGTAAATTCCATACATAATTTAATTACGCTGCATAAGAATTTGATATGGTTATAGGGAACGTCCATGAATTATGTCATTAAAAAGTGGGTGGATGGCTTTGGGGCGTCTATCTTACTTGTGTTAAGCTTATCATGAGTTGGGCAAGGAAGGGATGGGAGGGTGAGTGTTCTTAAAATCGGTATTTTTTGATGACTTAATTAGTGGACGTTCCCCTGTTGATTGAGATTATAACCCGTGTCTGTCAGCTTGTCATAAATTATGTCCAATTATGTCTTAGTGTGCTTAGTTAGTGAGACACGTCTAAATAAAATTTAAGACTCGCTTATCTACATACTTATCCAATGGGTTATTTGACATTGTACACTCTAAAGTTAACCAGTCGCCTGGCTGGAATCGTGATATAATAACGTCTCAAATATTTGTCTCTGAAAAAATAAGTAAATTAGTGAGTAAATTTTAATTCCAAAAAGTGTAAAAATTGCATATATCGAGTAAATTTACACAGGCCTAAATTGGTAACATTTTCAAATCCGCAAATTCTTTAAACTGACAAAATTTCACAAAATTGTACAAAATTTCCTAAGGAAAATTATTTCCCACCTTTTTAAAACTTGTCCAGGCCTATTTAACACTGAACTATCAAAATTTTATTAAAATTTCAAATTTGTTTTCTAAATTTTAAATTTTAATAAAATTTGGGAATTGTTTATTTGAAATTGCTTGTTTGGGGAATTCTGGAAAATTGTCGTACACATTTTTGTACACTGGCTCCGAGCAAGGGCCTTACCTATTTTGCAAAAGTTTATATAATTTAAAGTTTTTTTAAACTTTACAAAACAAAAGGATTTTACAATGTTCACTGCGTGAATTGCGCTAAGCATTTTTAACAAATAATAATAATTTTCTGAAAAATAGGGCAAAATGGGAGCGATTGATATCCTAGGGTTCTGGATCCTGATAAAAATTTGGACCATCATTCAAGACTTTATTTTACGTATATTTTGCCCTTCTTTGATTCCCAACACGGATAAGAATGGTGTCAAGATTAAGCCCACGTGGGAAATCCCTGGCCCCACGATTTGGCTCCCCCTGTTGGGAGATGCTCTCACACTGAACAAATTTGGAGGCCCAGAAAAGTTTCTGGACTACGTTTCCAGCTTACATGCAAAATATGGACCGATTGTCAAGTAAGTTTTACATGAATTGGATTATTTGCTTGGGACACTCTTAAAAATAAGGTTACCTTTTAAAAAGTGTTACTGTGCCGGATTGAATTTTTTTTTAAAAAAGAGGGTAACGTTACTTTTAAGAGTGTTCTGACAAGTTTAATAAAACGGTACCCATTTTCAGAACGAAACTTGGTCCGCAAAAGTTCATATTTGTAAATCATCCCGCATTATACGAGGAAATTGTGAGGTCTGAACCAAAATGTCCTGTCAGCTTTAAAGTAAGTATTCCTATTATGTTTAAGTATGTATGTAAGTATGTAAATACGCTATTTTACGTGAATTCTAACAATGGTCGTGTCCAAAGCAACATATGACTTTGACCAAAAGTCTTATTCTTAATCGATCACAAATTTCATTAATAGTTATAAGTATGTAAATATTGACACTGAGGGAACTCACGTCAACGTTTGCAACCTTTGTAACTGTGTCAGATTTGTGATCTTGTACAAAAGCATGCACTAATAATTTCTTTATCATTCCAATCCTCACAGCTTCCTTCAGCTGAAGCCTTTTATGAGAAACACAAAATCAAACGGGGATTATTCTTCAGGTAATTAATCATCATTCGGACCCTGATTGTTATAATATTAGACAATGTCCTTTGTAACCACATAAACTTACGAAGATCACCTTACGAACCAGAAACATGCAATTTATCTTCGCTAGGTTTTATACATAACTTCTTACTCGAAAGCTAATTAAGAAATGTGCGGAAGTTTACGTGTTTACGGAGTTACGAAGGTTGAATTGTCTACGTATTTTATTTATTTTTAACATGCTTCAGAGATGGCGAAGAGTGGCGGGAAGGTCGAACCTTGTTAACGCAACTGCTCCTTAAGGATACGGGCCGATATATGGAAACTTTATTCGACTCGGTCGAACCGGTATTACAGCGGTTAATGGATAACTGGACGTTCAAATCGGGGAAATCTAAGGACGGACATATCCAAAATATTGAGCAGGATTGCTACGAGTTTTTCCTTTCTGGTGAGAAATTACATACGCATTCGTAAATATTATTATTTTCCTCCGCCAAAAATTTATACCCATATTATAAAACTTTAATACCGGATTATTAAGTACTACACTGTATTAATTATCAGTACCACGTTGGTAGAGTCATATATGAATACCGCCTGGTATTATTTTAACACAGGATTTCTAAGAGTTTAGGAACCTTGTGTTGTGCAACATAGGAATATTTGCGTATTCCTGTATCTCGAGCTGTTTACCTTCATTATGAATATGCTAATTTCTTTTACAGCCATAATGACGGTGACATATGGCCAACATTTCGAGACGTACTTGTCCCAGGCCGGCTCCAGCGTGACAACTTTGGCGATAGAAGCTATCAAATTGAACCAGTCCACGTTTGACCTTAACGCCCATCCGATTCAAATGGCTACCGGATTAGGGTTAAAATGCTGGAAAGAGTATGAGGCATACACTCTCAACAATTTAACAATAGGTCAGCACATATTTACATACATATACATTTTGCACGAAATTATACAGCTAAGAGGAAATACACGCAGTCCTTTGTAAAATTGTGAAAAAAAGGTACCAACAAATTTTTACAACATTTTGCAAACATTTCTGAGGAAATTTAGCTTAGAAATTATTGTTAAATTACCCATATCAAGGAAGTTTCTTTACGTTGTAAAGATAATAAAACTATGGGACAGAACGCCCAGTTTTACAAAGTTACCTTATGTACCAATGACTGTGTGAACTGGTTCAAAAATTTGTTAAATATATCTAGACGGCGGGTATGAATAGCTTGCATTTATTTTGCCCGTGCAAAAAAATTATGTTTAGAAAAAAATTCCTGATTTTTTTCTAGCTAACATTTAAAATTTTTGAACTCTGTAGGTCGAAAATGTGCCGATATTGCGTTAGAAACGATGGCCGCGACGGGAGGGTCGCTTGAAGAATTTGGTCTTTTATATCGACTGAAGAACGTTTGCAACGCATCTGACGAAGACATTCGAGTCCATTGCACCGATTTTACGGTGGACATTAGCGACCCGGTAAGTACTGTAAAACACAATTGTTGTAGGGCATCCCCAATTTTACTTAAACGGTTTACATATGTATGATTCCCCGTTTTGCAAAAGAAAACATTATATGCGAAAACCAAGCCTTTAAGATTTATGTGCAAATTCTGCCAAGGTATTTTTCGTAAGGTAATAGATAGATTGCGCGCAATGAATTTTGGTTGGGTGTGATTGTAAGTTATAAGTGATCTATCTACAATCAAAGTTGCAATCACAAGAAGTTACTCCCGCTCAATCTCGAAGTATTTTATAACGTATCTGATAACATTTTCTTTAATCGGTCGAAAACTGTGTAAAAATCGGGTTTCGAAATATAGAGAAACCTTTAGTACGAAAATTGACGATTTTGTCCAACAAAAATCAATCAAGTCCCAACTAAAATATTCCTTAAGTATGTATGCACTCACCACTAAGCAAATACGTTTATCGGTTATTCTACATTTCAGGTCAGCTTAACCTTACTTTGGACATTGTACGCCTTGGGTAGAAATTTGGACGTACAAGAGAAAATTCTGCAGGAAATTGAACATGTTTGCGGAACCGGGGAAAATGTGGGGTACAACGACTTCCAAAAATTACCATATCTCAACTCCACCTTTAAAGAAGTCATGCGCATGTTTTCAACGGCACAGCTAGTTATTCGAAAAAATGCTAAGGACGTGGTCCTTGGAGGTTACAACGTTACATCGGACGTAAGTTTTAAAATCAATATTAAGCCGTGTTCAGAGGTGGAAAAAATAGTTTGTCAAGATAGAATAAGTTGACATTGGTAAAATACAATAGATCTTACTTATTCGAAGTACTTATCTTTTACAAAAAACATTGATTCTCGTATGGCAATTGTACTACTCCGTTTTCGTCTTTTTTGCGGGTCAGATAACCCCCAAAATCCAAATCCTAAGAATCCAAAGAACGTATTCGTCAAAATAATAAAATATTTTTACAAATTATTTTTCCCACCTCTGTTTAAAATAGAATGTACCAAGTCTTCTGGAAATTAATTATTCTTACCCATTTCAGTATATTGTTGCATTATCGACATTTTCTTCCCACAAAAATCCGGCACTCTTTACGAATCCTGAACAATTTTGGCCAGAGCGATGGTTAGGAGAGGAGCGGGACGTCGACACGGGGGCCATGAAAAGATCGGAAAATGCCTATTTTCCCTTCGGAATTGGGAAAAGAGCCTGTGCTGGAAAACACTTGGTGCAAAACTTAACAAAACTTTTCGTAGCCAAGGTATTGTATTAACTGAATCAATCATTGCGGGTATTCAGAATTGTGTTCGTACCCTTAATATCGTAAAATAAGTAGTTTTTGAAGAAAAAGAAGGGATTCGCTTAATTCGCTTAATCTTGACCTTGACACCATACCATTTTATTTGATAGCATGATTTTTTCCAACAATATCGTATTTACCATGAATCATAAATATACAAGTTAAATACTTAGTTTCAAGTTTTGTATGTAAAATTTATTATTATTGCATTTACAGATCGTGCAGAATTTCGTGGTTGAGAGTGACGAGGTTCAGACAAAGCTCAAAATAATGCTGTATCCCGATGGCGACATGAATATTAGGCTTAAACCCCGTTAAAATTAAATATTGCATTTGCTGCTCTTGGAAAATTTCCGATTCCCTTGACCTTTCCATACAGATTGGATTATCTACAAATGTGTGTAAACAGCTAATATTTTAAATAAATAATGCTATTATAGATAAGTTGTCATTCGTTCGGTTCAAAAGTGAATAAACTAAGCGGCAACGAATTTATTTGCAACTAAAGACGAGGGCATAACTATGCAAATTTTAAGAATTCGTCGGACATACATATCGTCGTACTAATTCAGAAAAGACCTACCTGCAGTCGACGCTTAATTCAGAAAAGACGTAAGTGTGAAAAAAACACCAGAAAAGACCTATGTGCAAGTATGTATTTACTTATGGCTATATCTTGCCTGTTGTAAAACCAAACGAACAACCAGCTTGAAAGGTTCTACTTCTTAAAAAGATTGGGTCGTTGCTTAAAAATACTACTACTGTGGTGTAAATGAAATTTGTATAAAAACTCAAACTTTAATTTTACTCACATCGAGCAATAACAAATCAATTTATTTAATTATTTCAATTCAATTAAATACTAGACAAAACCTTTACTCTTTCTTGATGCTCTCTCGCATACATACATTTACCTATTACTCGTTTTCAAAAGAAAGATCTGGAAAAAATGGTGATACCACCAGCGCTCAATTTAAATTCTTGGGGAAAAATAAGACTATGAATTCAAACATCCTCCCACTTCTTTTGGGAGAGAATGCGGACAAAAGAACAATGTATGTATGTATTTTGGGAGGAGGGCTCCTCCTGTTGGAGAAGCCCAATGCTCAGATCATCTATCAAATCTATTGCATATCCTCTCATTACACCGTATGACAGTGGCTATCCAGTTGCTCAGGTATAATCTCCATATCTATTGATGAGATATGGGGATCAAGAAACCATTTAAGGATAGTAACATGGGAAGAGACGCCGGCTTGCCGTAAGCACCACCACTCACCCCTGCACTTACGGGGCCAGTCCCACTCCGCCCATCCTCTACCCACCACTGCCTATTCAATCTTACTGTATGCCCCTTTGGACGCGAATACTACCATGGAACGGTAAGTATGCTCAGTCCACTCTACTGAGTGTCCAGCTACAATGTGTGTAACTGGCACCCAGGGAGGGCTGCCCCAGCTGCCGAGATATGAGGGATCGAACCATAGACCTTCCGAGTGCCGAAAGCCACCGGTTTTCACCCCCAAGCCAAACAGCCAGGGCTAAAAGAACAATACTACATTCATAAAAATTTCACATATTCACATAAAAATTACACTCCAAATCTCTCAGGGTTCCTAATCTGTCTTCCAAATCTTGTACGCACATTTTCTTCTTTCTTGGCGTCGACTGACTCCGACACTTGCGCTGATATCTTCACTCTATTTTGAATTTGGGGAATCTCTTCAGTTGACACCTCCAGGGGGAACAGTCTCTGCAAAGGTCGAGTCAGCAGTCCATTCGCCGTCTTGAGTTTGGCTACTCTCACATGACCGTCCCTTCCAACAATCAGTTCCAGAATTCTTGCCATCGGCCAAATGATCTCTTGTCATCTGAACCGATGAGCACAACATCGCCTACTCGAAACACTGGCGATTTCTTCTCTTTTCCTCGTTGCACAAGTTGAGACAGGTACTCTTTAACGAATCTTGACTTCAATTCTTGTCTCAATTGGCGTAGATCTCGATACTTGCTTCTCAGTGCTTGACCACCCAATAATTCCTCTTCAGGGAAATCCGCTTCGGTGATGTCGTGAAGAAACATCGCAGGCGTCAAGGGCACCAAGTCGTCTTGTTCTTCTGACATATAGGTCAGAGGACGGCTATTGACTACCGCCTCCACCTCAAACATACATGTCTCCAACTCAGCAAGGTTTAGCTTCTTGCGTCCCAGCATTCTCTTCATAATATCCTTGCAACTTCTTATTAACCGCTCCCACCATCCGCCCCACCACGGTGCTGCGGGTGCGCTAAATTTCCACTTGATTCGACTCACTCTTGACTCCTGTTCAATTCTCTTCCAGTCCATCAGCTTAATTGCATTATTCGCACCTTCAAAATTGGTGCCATTGTCCGAATAGATGATGGCTGGTCTTCCTCTTCGACTGATGAATCGGTGTAAACTTAACAAAAAATCCTCCGTTGATAATGATGACACTAATTCCAAATGAATAGCTCTGTAAACTGCACAGGTATACAGCACCATCCAGGCTTATGACCCATTTTTCAGGAAGAACGGTCCTGCTAGGTCAATCCCCACCACTTGAAACACCTTCGCGGTCGTCGTCACTCTATCCTCGGGAAGTGGGGGGCACGGAACTTCTGATTTCTTAGTGGTAAAACGGCGACAGACAACACATTGCCGGATCACCTTCTTAACTTGTTGTCGTAAATGGATTATCCAAAAACGCTCCCTTAATTTGCTCATCGTAATGCTTAATCCTGCATGCATATTTAGAATATGCTCCGATCTAATTAACTGCCATACCACAGGATGATTTGATGGCAGCAAAACTGGTTTTCTGAATGATTTACTCTCTGGCATGTTCGTAATCTTGGTCTTAATTCTGAGCAAGTCGTCTTCTCCTCGAACAATTTGCAGATTCTCCACCACATTTTGATTCATGGGGAAAGATTCTTCTTGTATTTTGTGGAAGATAAAAGTTTCAGCTTCTTCAACTTCTCGCTGTTCTAATTCGCCAACTATCTTCTCTCCTTTAAATCGACGTATGCTACGCTTCAGCATCGCGATAATACGAACATTCTTCACAAAAGAACATGACATCTCTCCATACCAGGGCGTTGATGGCAACGTCGCAATAAGTGACACTTTCGCCACTTTCTTCATCTCGACACGAACTTCTTCATCGTCCGCTTCTTCTTTACTTGATGGCCATTCCGATTTCGGTTTCTTTAGCCAATCCGGGCCCTCCCACCATTTAGAATTGATAAGATGAGAAGGACTGCATCCTCTTGAAGGTAAGTCGGCTGGGTTGAGGACGCCCGGCACATGGTTCCATTCCATGGAATTACTGAGGGAACATGTTTCCTTAACTCGGTTTCCCACAAATGTTCCCCATTCATCATTGCGCTTTATCCAAGCCAGCGCTGTCGTCGAGTCGCTCCAGTAAAAAGTTGGGGTCTCCTCTGCGGACAAGGCCTCCTTCACAGATTTCGAAAGTCTGGCAGCAATGGTACATCCTAATAGCTCCAACCTTGGAATTGTTACCTTCTTCATGGGGCAACTCTTGCCTTAGCTTGTAACAATTGGACTGAAACTTGTTCATTATCTTCAACTCGTATAAATACGGCGCCGGCATACGCATGTTGACTTGCGTCACAAAATACATGAAACTGGCGACCGCTTTCATAACTTGAGCAAAATGAATTTTCATTTCTTTTAATAGCTGCGCCTGATTCCACCAATCTTCAAATTCTTTCTTAATTGTTGAATCCAACTCCTCATCCCATGAATTCTTCTCTGTCCAGGTCCTTTGCAATAACAGCTTTGGGATGATGGTGGTTGGACTTAAATACCCCATCGGGTCAAAAAATTGTTGCACTTTTGACAACATCACTCTCTTGCTAATATTCTCAATCTTTTCTTCTTTCGGGAGGGAGACTGATAACTCATCCTTCTTCTTGCCCCAGTTCAGTCCGAGCACTACAGTTGTCTCTTGACCATTTTCATCCTTATCAAACTGCTCGAAACTGATTCCAGCGGCCCCAGAGTAAGAACGTTCCCATTGACGAAGCTCCATCCTGGCGTCGCACATCATCTTGACTGCTAAACTCTTGAACTTTTCATATTCTTCTTCCGTGTCAACTGATGTGACACAATTGTCCACATAAAGGGAACGCAGGAGCTTATTTGCATACTCCTTATTTTCTCCAGTAACCTGGCTCAAGTGGTAGTCGATAACAGCTCCGAGTAAGAATGGGCTGCACTTGACCCCAAAAACGACTCGCTTATGTCGATAAATCTTCATTCTTGGATTTTCTTTATTATTCCACCACAGGAAACGCTGGAAATCTTGATCCGGCTTCGCAACTTCGATCATTTGAAATGCTTTTCTAATGTCAGAAATGACACCAATTTTCTTTTCGCGAAATCTCAACAGAATTGCAGGTATGAGCTCCAATAAGTTAGGTCCTTTCTCCAACAAATCATTCAGTGACGGGTTTCTTCCATTCTTACAGGAAGCGTCATAAACGGGACGAACTGGAGTTGTCTTGCTCTCTAATTTGTAAACTGGACGGTGGGGCAGGTAATGACAAGGCCTGTCCACGCCTCCAACTACTTCTTCAATTAATCCTTCCTTCTCCCAATCTTGAAATACTTTATCATAAAGTTCATAATTTCCTGACTCTCGTAATTTTGTAGTAGTGGAAATTAACCTCTTCTCCGCGACGACCTTGTTGTCGGGACTGGTCCTTTCTTCATCAACCCAGGGAAGCGTCACGGCGTATCTTCCTTCTTGAGTTCTTAAAACTGTTCTCAAAAAATGCTGTCTTGCTTCTTCTTCCTTTTCATTCTTGGTTTTATGCTCGGTAGGATCAGTGATTCCAATTGTCTCCAGCTTCCATAAATCCTGGACACATGCTTCTGCATTGAATAATGAGTGATGAATCGTCATCACTCCCATGCTGACTTCTTTTCCTGGGACAGGTCCACTCAGGGTCCATCCAAAAACAGTCTCCACTGCGACAAGACCACACGATAACATTAACCGTCTGCCACACACAAATTGTCCCCTATAATCACTTCCGATTAATAACTCGATATCCGGGTGGTCCACATGGCTCATCTCAAAATCTGACAAAAATATCTTCCTCTTCTTCAACTCATTCATCCACGGACCGGCCGGAATTCTTGGAATGTCTCCACAAATAGTTGGGGACTCCCTCAAAATAATGTCTCTCTTGAATCTCCCATCAAGGCTTTGAACTTGCACTTTAAATTTCTTAATTTTCCTAGGCTCCGTCAGAACCCCACCAAACAGAACATTACGAGTCCATTCTTCTCCCACGAGAGGACTACCGATTGCAGAGATCGTTCTCTGACCACCGCTGCTCTGCTGGCTTCCCTCGTCGAACAGCAACCTCACTATTCTTGTTCCTTTAGGACCAGCCATCTTCACCAACAACGCCTTTATTAATACATCTTTGCTGCAAGAATGGTTGGCATTTGCTGCTGTCGCTGGGACCTCACTGTGTACCTCTTCTCTTCCGGTATTGTTCCTTTGATTTGACGGAAGTCTTGCACACATTGACCTTGCATGGGGCTCGCCACATGATGAACATTTCAACTTAACTTTACAGTCTGATTTACGATGTCCAAATTTCAAACACCGATAACACAAATTCTGGCTTCTTATCAGGTCACTCTTCTCTGACCAACTCATCCTATCCGCTCGATAACACTCGGTACTTGGATGGTTGGATTTGGAGCAAAACACGCAATTGCTGCTCTGCGCCACTAACAATCCTGCTGCGGTTGGGATTGAATCTTTCTTCTTTCCATGATTTTCATATTTTTCTTTCTTGGACTTGCCAGAGGAATCACCTCCAATAAACATCTTCAGTTTTGCTTCTCGTCCCACTTCTTGTCTGAGGAACTGCATTAAATAGTCGAGTCTTGACTTTGGTGGATTAACTTTCGCACCATCTTCCTGGTACAAAGGAGATCGATACCAGGCATTAAAAATTTCCTTAGGTAGACTGGTCTCAATAATGGGGCGAAGAAACAATGTATCTCGTTCAGACTTCACTCCCAACGACTCCAACGCCTGCAGCTGTGTTTGAAGACGATCATAAAACTTCTCCAATGATAACTTCTCTTTCTCGAACAAAAACTGTGCTAGCTCTCTTGTATATAGGTCAACAAGGATGTCTTCTTTCCCGTACCTTTCCTTCAATGCTCCAATAGCTTTCGGATAATTTGCATCCGTCTTCGGATAGCTTCTGATAAGATCAGCGGCCTTTGACCCGCTGACCATACTCTGCACTAAATAATGGAACTTGTCCGTCACATGTAAATCTTCATCTTCATCTATCTTCTTAAACTGCGCCCACCACTCCAGCCAGTTCTTGATCTCCCCGTCAAACTTCATTAACTCGATCTTTGGTAGCTTATAATTCTTCTTGATAAGTCCTCCACTAGCAGTGGAGGACTATTTGTCGGGCTTGCTGATCGTTCTGGACCAAGGAACTTTTCAACTTTGTGGCGCACAAATCTACACTTATCATTGTATCCTTCAATTGATCTTGATTCTTCTAAATAATCTTCTTCAGTAAGTTCTTCGTTGTCTAGAATAGCATCCAAAACTTGCTTATCCAAATCCAACACGGTGTCGGTAAGCTCGATCAACTTCTTCAACTTCACAATCAGGACGTCCTTATCTCGATCTTCTTTGGTCATTTCCTCATCCAGCTCGTTGACCGTCCTAGTCATCATGGCTCGAATGGGTGTGCGCTGCTTCTTTAGACGATCCATCCTGTCTCGAACCGAATAAAGCCAGCAAAGAAAAAACAATTAGTTTAATCTACTCTCAAATTCTCCAAAATATCGACGATCCCACCTAGGTAGGCTACGCTCAAGGCCGTGGCAAACCGTAAATTCAATTTTATTATTGATGCAAGATCCACACGGGTTGCTCCTCCCACTCGACCTCTGAAATCAGTCCTCGGTGGTAATGACGGGGCGGTCCACTCTTGTCCTTCTTGCTTAAAAACTGCAATCCTCCCACTCGTCCTTTGCTTCCTCGAGGGGATGATGGATGCACTCTTTCACTTTACACTCATAGATAACTTCACTGCACTTTAACAACGACCTCAATCACGTCGAGGTCACCAAATGTTGTAAAACCAAACGAACTACCAGCTTGAAAGGTTCTACTTCTTAAAAAGATTGGGTCGTTGCTTAAAAATACTACTACTGTGGTGTAAATGAAATTTGTATAAAAACTCAAACTTTAATTTTACTCACATCGAGCAATAACAAATCAATTTATTTAATTATTTCAATTCAATTAAATACTAGACAAAACCTTTACTCTTTCTTGATGCTCTCTCGCATACATACATTTACCTATTACTCGTTTTCAAAAGAAAGATCTGGAAAAAATGGTGATACCACCAGCGCTCAATTTAAATTCTTGGGGAAAAATAAGACTATGAATTCAAACATTGCCCTTTATATATCGCTCGATTTAGCCATAAGTAAATACATACTTGCACGTAGGTCGTTTCTGGTGTTTTTTGTGTACTTACAATGGAGGCGCAAACCATGTTCAGCCCAGATAATTTTTTGACCTTATTAGTTTGAAAGAGCAAGTCTTTACAAACAACATTTGGTTCGGCACTTGGGCAGATGCGCATATTTCAGCACGTTATGGGCGCCGCAAGTTCGCAAAATCGCACGATTTTCCGGGCAATGCCCAGCGCGAGCTCAACTTCATGCGTTTTTGCAAACTTGCGGCGCCCATAACGTGCTGAAATATGCGCATCTGCCCAAGTGCCGAACCAAATGTTGTTTGTAAAGACTTTCAAACTCTTTCAAACTAAGAAGGTCAAAAGATTATCTGGGCTGAACATGGTTTGCGCCTCCATTGTTAGGTCTTTTCTGCATTAAGCGTCGACTGCACTTAGGTCGTTTCTGAATTAGTACGACGATATCTAATACAACTTAAAGTTTTCTTACGCGTATTTACATGTTCGGGAAATATTATCCCAAATAAACCTTAGTAACGTTTGAAGTAGCTCACCCTGTAATAATGATTTGGTTATAACTTGCTCCAAAGGTGCAGAAAAATGCAACAAAATTGATACATAATTTTTATGCAATTATGCACCAATGGTACAGAAAGATCCAACAAAGTAGATGAATAATATTTATGCAATATTGTACCAATGGTGCAGAAAAATTAAACAAAATAGATCAATAATTATTATGGATCGAGGAAGGTCCAAAAATTGTGCATCACTGGTGCAGAATTACCTACCAACGATCAACGATAATTTTGAAAAATTTATGTCAAAATGGTCTAATAAAATCTACCGAGTAGTATGCATTATTGGTGCGCTATGCATCAAAGCTCCCAATTCTTTCGCATCATTTGGTGTTTCCGATTGTCAGATACCAACGGTGTTATTAATTTATGAAAAAATTGACCAGGGACATTTTAATCAGCATCAATTGATGCAAAAAGGTCGTTAACATACAGACGGACGGACGGACGGACAAGAGGAATTCAATAGCTCCCGTGCTACGCAGGGCGAGCTAATAACGAATAGAAAATAGATAGTTAACGGCATCGATTATATCTTTATCTGCTGCTGACCCAGCTTGTTAAAGTCCGAGCAATAATGACACCGTAATTTCGCTAACTCTGGACAAATAGTTGAGAAAATATTTTGCCTGAATGCCATCCCGAATTGTTTCCACGGATCCCATAAATTCAAGATTAACCGAATTTGGTGTCTGCGAACGTAGCACTTTCCTCTCATACTTTCTTCGGCCGTACAATTTGTACATTCTCTGCAAAAATAAGCGGGATGCGGATGACCCCTTTGAAACAAAGGAGACAGTGAACCATTCCACCACCACGCACAAGATGAGCAGCGTAATGCACAAAGAACGGAGGAGAAGGCTGTGCGAAGTTGCGAAATCATTGCTAAAACCAACCACGAGAAAGTACAAGGCAATCGTGGATGCTGCCACACAATAAAAATGGTGTAGACACGTGGACACGAAGTCGTGCGCGATTTCGGAATGAATTATACTCAAGATTCGGAGGCATTTATAAATGTAAAGATTCAGGGGGAACGGGAGTCTTGTTTTACAGGAGGGATTTTTTATAGCTCTTGGATTCTGTAACTTCCCGCCACTTCCTAATTTCCGCGGGAGTTTTTTCACCATACGGTTCCTAACTTTTCCCCACGAAACAACTGGTTCTTTGTTCCTTATGATGCCATGACGGACCTGGTTTCTCGTATTTCCCCACAACTCCCTATCCGGCGGGATAATTACTAGAGTCCATAAATATAAACAGCCTACTCCATACCCAGAAATTAAGATACAGATCGTTTCTACTGAGAAAAGAAAGAGTGCCCCCATGAACGTCAAGAAACCGAAGACAACCAAGAAGGCGACGCAGGCAGCTGGGGTGTAACGTTCCTCGATGTGCCGGATGTCGTTAACCGCAACGTAAATGGGATTAGTGGAGGGCAAGAAGCAAATTGGCAAGAATAGGAGCGGTATTATGGTTTCCGTGGTTTTGAGGAGGTTACGAAAGAAATTGGTAATTACACGTATCGCGTTCCGAATTTCTAAATCCTGGTTGTCCACGTGCGGGAGTAAGTCTAAATAGGACAAAAAGTAAACGTTTGTCTTGTTGCACCTTTTTCACATTTCTTTCACACCTTCGATTCAGTAAAATGAATATTACAGATTTTATTTTGTGTACACAAATTGCAGGAAAATTAAAATAAAAGTTTGGTTTTCGCACTGTTTTACAGTTTGTGTACTGTGCTTGACAAAAGCCCAAGGTGCAAGAAACCCAAGAAATTTGGGTACCTATGTAGTGGCTCGAATTGGGGCTAAAGCCGGATACTAAGAAAACGAAAAATCCGAATTTGACAGCCCTAATTGCGAACCACATACCTCACAAAGTTCACAGAAACTTCATTTACGAACTTGCGCAACTAATAGGCTGGTACTAATTACTCCTTTTTGTTGTTGAAATTTAGATTATGCGAACTTGTAACGAATACGCATAATTTATTCTAGTAGCTTCCTTTAGTTTTTGAAGGAAAATATTACATTAATTTGAAACCTGATCCAGCATTCGTACAATTATTCAATCGTTTATAGACAAATTTACAATTTAAACTTAAATTTTACTAACCGTGCAGTGCTTTCTCCAAGGATATGGTTGCCTTGAAAAAGGTAACGTACTTTTTGGCTTTGAAGGGTCTCATTAAAAACCATGAGAGCGGTAGAAACCCAAAGATGACTAAGGTACCCACATACGTTACGAACACCATGGGGTTGTCCCTGTTACTTTGCACCATCCTCGCGAGATAATAACACCGCGCCACGAATGCGGGAAAAATGGGAAACGTAAAACAAAAGCAGATCAATTTATATAATCGGTATTGCCATCGTGCCCCACTTAAAGCTTGGATGGATTGAGACTTGGCGTCATATTCGAAACAGTACGCGCACCAGGCTGAATTCCGCTGTACGCTGGAAACAGCGCGGCGCAAGAAGTGGAGCGCTTCGTCCTCCCACATTGTTTTTCTAATCTGAAGGAAAATTTCAACGAGTTTCTTATTGGGCAGCTTTTATGTAGAAATTTTGCGGAGTTTTCTGCATAGAACTTTTATGCCGTGAGATTTATGTATAAAGGTTGCAGAATTATGCATAATTATGCATTAATAGTTCTGTAGAATATAACTCGTAGAAATTTTGTGCAGAATCATCCAAGTTTTTTGTTCTTGAATACCTGCTGTAATGGCCAATTAATCCTACAAACAATTTTCATACGGGGTGAGTTTTATCGAGCTTTAGTTTTTTATTGCAAATTTCCCTGTACTCGGAAATTTCGAAGCTGTCAGTCAAATTTAAAATTTCTGGAGTCAATTTCACCCCCTCTAAGCTGCATAATTTCTAATAAAGACACACTATCGGCAGTGAGGCCGATAGTGATATAGTTAGACAAATTATAGTTCGACAAAGGGCGCACGTAGTTTGTTATCGATTTCTAAGGTATAAATATGTAACGCAACAGTTTTTAAATTGTTATTCGCCAGGAGATTAAAATTTGTTTTTGTGGAAAATTAATTTGCAAGTGATTGCCCTTTATGTCAGTTTTGATTAAAAATTTGTTTGTGCTGACCGAACTTGGACGAACTGTTTTCCCATGAATTGACCACCATTATAATGAAAATATAATTTTGACGAAACTTTAGCTTCTGAATAAAGAAAAATATTTTAACTTAAAAAACCTCGAAATATGTAATACAGATAAAATATTTATACATATGTAATGGATTATGCGTGTAAATACGTATAGAATAAACCGTAGTAACGTTAGAAGTAGCTCATCCT